AATGCTAAGCTTTTTGAACATTCTATTGGTATTTGAGGGGTTTCAAAGCCCGTCTCATGCATTTTGGTTGGCTATATGGAGAATTAAGGCAGTACTTTTTACCAGTTCTCAAACCAGCTCTTATCAACACTCAAACCCTATTATCAAAAATCTAAACACTGAATCCTAAAAGCATTTCTGAATGATACACTAAAATGGACCAACAGCATTTTTACACTCAAAGCACACACAGGCTCACACCAAAGACGTTTTATTTGATTTTAAAATTTAAATTGATTTACTGTCTTTAAAGGGGCAGACATAATAGATAAAGCCTTCCCTACCATATACCCTCCTTCCCTCTCCTATCAGCCTCTCATGAGGGCATATGCCACCCACACCCCCCAAAACAGAAAAACACACCTACCCACTCCAGGGCAGGTTCTGTGTGTCTGTTACCCTCTCCTTCATGCACATGTGAGGGCAGACTCATTTTCTCAAAATGTCCCTTTGGAGGCAGGCACCTCCTTTCTCTGTTGAACAGTTAAGAATAAAGGGTCAAACCACATGGAATGGATGTTTTTAGCTGTTACCTGAAAACTATAAAATGAGCTACTCCCAGGGCTTGCAGAGGATTCCTATCCTTCTCTGAGTCCCACTGCAGATGAGACTGGCAATTGGGATCCCAGTATAAGCTGCCATATAATTATATAGAGTCAATGTCTGTGACATGATTTAGTTTCCCCGGGCCCTGGTTCGCAATTCTTTTTTCTTTTTTTTTTTTTTTAAAGATTTTATTTATTTATTTGACAGAGAAAGACACAGCGAGGGAGGGAACACAAGCAGGGGGAGTGGGAGAGGGTGAAGCAGGCTTCCCCCGGAGCAGGGAGCCCGATGCGGGGCTCGATCCCAGGACCCTGGGATCATGACCTGAGCCGAAGGCAGACGCTTAATGACTGAGCCACCCAGGCGCCCCAAGTTCGCAATTATTTTCAAACATACTCCGTCTACCCATGAGGCAGAAATCAACCACTGTTATATTGTGTAGGATTTCAGAAAGACAAAGGACTTCTCTATGTGGGACCCTCCCTGAAGACAGGGCTTTCCCATATTGCCTTAAAATAAGACTAGCCGAGTCCCGGTATCTATCATTGTGGATTATGCCCATTTTGACAGGGCATTAAGAATGAATTTGAACCAGTGCTGAGAAACATAGGAAGCATATATTAATAGCTATTAAGGTCCAGAAAGAAGAACATAGAGACATACTTCAAGTAAAAAAGGTCAGGAAATTTTCCACCATATTAAAACATTCCAACATATTTACATATAAACATTTTGAAATGTACTCTTACTTTCTCAGAGGCATGCTAAAACAAAAACAGATTTCCCTCAGTAAGACTTAAGCGTTTTTTATGTACATGGTTAACAGAAAAGTTAAAAACAGATCTGTTGGATACAGATAAATACTATTTTTGTACACTACTTTCAATCTACCAACAACTAGGACATGGATATCTACTATGTGTAAAGCATTTGTGGAAGAGGGGTGCTAAAGTAGATGCAATGAAGTATTTTATAACATTGTTTAAAATCCTTAAGCTCTGCTTCAGTGGCTGAAATGGTGCAGGCCCTTTTACAAAAGTTTCCACTAAAGCTGAGCTTCTACAGCTAAGTGCTCTTTCAGAAGGCAGGCTGTATCAGGATGCAGATGTATCTGATCTTGTATGTGGTGATTGCAAACGAGGTAACTGGATGCGAATCTGATTTCACTCTAGATCTACATTAAGTACTGATTAGAAAGGAGGGGTCTACTTTGAATTAAATTAGTAAAGTCACTGAGAAACCCAATAGTTAAAGCAAACAAACGTAGGGTTTGGGTGGAGTAGACCCATGCTAATGTAGTTCTTTCCTAGGATCTGACCACTTTTCTCCTGGCAATGTTTTCTTCATGAAAACTAAAACAAGAAGTCAATAAGAAAACATACTTTAAAAACTGACAGGGGCACCTGGGTGGCTTCAGGTGGTTAAGCATCTGTCTGCTTCGGTTCAGGTCACGATCCCAGGGTCCTGGGATCGAGCCCCACATGGGGCTCCCTGCTGAAGGCAGGAGGCTGCTTCTCTTTTTCCCTCTGCTCTTCCCCCCAGCTTGTGCTCTCACTCTTTCTCTCAGATAAAATCTTTTTTTAAAAAAACCTGATTATTAGGAAATCTCAGCAGAGGAGGCTTTAGGCATACTTGTGCTTTGATTTGGAATAAAGTGGTAGTTGGAACTACAAGAGTAAGACCTTTTGATGACAAATTGGCTTAAAGTTCTCCCCCACTCCTTTTGAACAACTATAAAGTCCTTGAAATAGGCATTTTACTCACTTATAGGCTTAACTCTGGGTTTGATGAAAAATTAACTGATAACTCTTATGGACTTCCAAGGAAGATATTAAATTATACCTAGGAGTTACCTTTCTTAAATACATGGCTTTAAGTTTACTTTACTATTAGCAACAACAAAACTTCTGGTCACAGTTGTGACAATCTGAACACCAAAAAGAATAATTATGATGTACTGAAGAACATTAAAACTAAAAATTCACGAGCCTATAATTACACGAAAAAAAGAGCTTTAAAAGAACCCAATTTGTCATCATCTGTTAAACCAACTCCTTACTTTGAAGTTGATAATTAAATTGAAAAAATAAAACATTTAACCTGTCTTTCCAGTAAGAGATGTATTTAAGGATGACAAAATAGCTCAAGTGGAGGAGGGATAGTTGTAGTTTACAAAGAAACATCAACTAATAAATGCTGAAGAAATGAGAGAAATGGAAAAAAATCACAAATCTTAATAAAATTATTGACTTACGCAAGGATGTTAAAACCCCTGGGTGAATGGCTAATGGGAAACTGGGCATTCATTCAATGCCAAAGGCATACCATATAGGTAACTCAGTAGTCACAAAGGAGAAAACATAACTGGGGGGTTAGGCTGTCCTGTTAATCCAGTGATCACCTTAGCATCGTTCATTAATGGTAGGGCAACTAAATATTTGTTTTCTGATGTGATGAGATTTGAAGCATGTGTCTCATCTATGATATATTCTAGCAAAAACAACGTTTTATTTCAATCCATGAAACTTTTAGATATAGCTTCTAGATTACAGGCAGTTCAGGAAATAAAGGGACAAGAGAAATAACACCTTGAAAAAACAAAATGGGATTCTACAGGACAACTGCCCCAGTCCCTTTAAACAACTTAGTGTCATAAAAGGGACTGTGATGGATTAAGATGGACTTAAGGGACTTGAAGAGACAGGACCAGTTGTAGCATTAGGTGACAGAATGGATACTAGTTTGGACAGACCAACTACAAATTTGAGGACGATGGGAAATTTGAAGTAGGTCTGAGGTGAAAGTATTCTGGAATGAGAAAGCAAGGATTATTGACTGAAAACAATGGATTACAGAACACTACGTTGAAAATGATCTTCCTTTGATTAAAAGATGAAAATACATATGAACAGAAAAAGATGTGGAAGGAAGTACATTAAAGTGTTAGTGATAATCTTTGAGTGGTAGCAAAATAATGTCTTTCTTTTCTTCTGTTTCTTCTAATTTTTCGATTGTTCTTTAATAATAAAAGGTTATTTTAAGAGAACTTCTAGAAAATTGTGGGTTTGCTCCTTCTGTTAGATAACTCTGGTTACAAAAATCCTGTAAATCAAGTACAAGAACAAGGAGCCACTACCCACCTGGGGACAGCATTTCTGATTTGTAGGTAAAGTACTTAAAGGAAATAACTTCTTAAATGCTCGGCTTATAAAGGTAATACTAAAGAGTAACAGAAATGTCACTGCCCAAAAAATGAACTATTGGGACCTCATCAAGATAAAAAGCTTCTGCACAGCAAAGGAAATGGTCAACAAAACTAAAAGGCAACCTACAGAATGGGAGAAGATATTTGCAAATGAAATATCAGATAAAGGGTTGGTATTTAAGATCGATAAAGAACTTACCAAACTCAACACCCAAAAAACAAATAATCCAGTCAAGAAACAGGCAGAAGACATGAACAGACACTTCTCCAAAGAAGACATACAAATGGCTAACAGACGCATGAAAAAATGCTCCACATCACTTGTCATCGGGGCAATACAAATCAAAACCACAATGAGATACCACCTCATACCAGTCAGAATGGCTAAAATGAACAAGACAGGGAACAACAAATGTTGGTGAGGATGTGGAGAAAGGGGAACCCTCTTACACTGTTGGTGGGAATGCAAGCTGGTACAGCCACTTTGGAAAACAGTAGGGAGGTTCTTCAAGATGTTAAAAATAGAGCTACCTTATGACCCAGGAATTGCACCACTGGGTATTTATCCCAAAGATGCAGATGTAGTGAAAAGAAAGGGCACATGCATCCCAATGTTCATAGCAGCAATGTCCACAATAGCTAAATTGTGGAAGGAGCTGAGATGCCCTTCAACAGATGAATGGATAAAGAAGATGTGGTTCATATATACAGTGGAATATGACTCAGCCATCAGAAAGGATGAATACCCACTATTTGCATCAACACGGATGGAACTGGAGGGTATTATGCTAAGTGAAATAAGTCAAGCAGAGAAAGATAATTATCATATGGTTGCACTCATATGTGGAACATAAAAAATAGCTTGGAGGACCATAGGGGAAGGGAGGGAAAACTAAATGGGAAGAAATCAGAGAGGGAGACAAACCACGACAGACTCTTAACTCTGGGGAAAAAAGCTGAGGGTTGCAGAAGGTGATGGGGGCGGGGGGATGGGGTAACTGGGTGATGGGCATTAAGGAGGGCATGTAATGTGATGAGCACAACTAGTCAATCACTGAACACTACATCAAAAACGAATGATGTACTATATGTTGGCTAATTCAATTTAAATTTAAAAAAGTCACTGCACAAGAAATGCAGGCAAGAGGACAGTCTATCTTTGAAATATTCAATAAAAAAAAAAACACAAGTAAGATACATCTTGCTATGTGTCATTCACTCTCCAAATCAAGCCTTGACTACTAGTATTGACCCTTAGGGAAAAAAAATCTAGTGTCTAGACTTAAACTGTGTAACAGTGAGTGAGTTCACAAGAGACGCATACCCCATCCCAGCTGAGTTCTTCATCTATGCTTCTGGAGTGGCATTGGGCTCTGAGTCCTCCAGGGGAGGGAGAGCCGAGGCGTCTTGCCCAACAAGCGCTTCCCGAAGCTGGCTGCCTAACACTGCATCGTGGATGCTGTGGAACAGCAGCTCCTTCAAGGCAGGATTTTCAAAAAATCGATTTTGAGTGAGGTCGTTTACAACTTGTGCTACAAAAGAAGAAAGGAAAATCAGTCCACACTCTGGGTATCAGTCTTGAACATTAAAAAAATTAGCACTCTTATATAGCTTAAATATTATAATGACAAAGTGTCACTTCAATCCCGTCCCCACGATGTCACACCCTAGTAGTAGTAGGAAACTATTTTCTGTTTTTTTTTAATTTCAATTTTTTAATTCAAGTTTTTGTTTAAATTCTAGATCCCATATATGGTAAAACTGGTTTCAGGAGTAGAATATAGTGATTCATCACTTACATATAACACCCAGTGCTCATCCCAACAAGTGCCCTCCTTAATGCCCATCACCCAATTACCCCATTACTCTGGATTTTGTTTGTACTTAATTTTTTTTACCACTACATGATATTCTATTGTGTGGATGTACCCAATTTATTTAACTGGTCCCTTTTCTTTGACATTTTTTCCAGTCTTTTGTTTTATAGACAGTAACCAGTTTCTGCAAATGCTTATAGATGGTTAACCACGTATGCGTGTCATTTTGAGTATATGCAGCACGTTGCTGGACTTGCTGGGTTAAAGGGTAAAGTGCGTTTGTAATTGGGGACGATAACGCCGCTCTGCCCTCCACTGAGGCTGTTCCATTTTGCATTCCCACCAGCAATGTCGGAAAGTCCCTGTTCTCTCACAGTGTGCCTACAGAGCATGCTGTCAGACATTTCTCCTTTTTGCCATCCTGGCAGGTGAAAAGCGATGCCTTTATGTAGATTCCATTTTCAGGCACTGTTTCAACCAAAATTTGTTATAAAGCAAAAATAGCAGGCATTGTCATGGAAAAACCTAAATGATTGTATAGAACTATGTTTAGGGCTGCCATTAAATAATTACTAAAAAAACGTACCAGCCCAGAACAATGGTTTATAAGCTCCTTCCCTCAAAGTCCAGGTCAGGAGGCCTGCCACAATAGCCCAGGGACAGGGGTGCCTGTGAGTGACTAATTTCAAAGCTAGCTTCAGAGTGATTTTCAGAAGAATGATTTTCATTTTTTCCCTTCCCTCCCTGAATAATTTTCATTTCTGCCAGAAACTAAAATTAAGGGAAAGTATTTCCAAACTTTTAAAAAGTTATTAAAAAAGAAAGAAACGAAACCAAAATGTTAAAACTTCTCCCCATTCTAGAAGTGTACTCACCGCTGCATCCTGCTAAATACACATAAATACCGACATCTCCATATTCTTTTACAATCTGTAATAATGTTGAAATAAAGTTTAGTTTCTCTTGACTCTGGGCCCAAGGCAAGTCTCTTTCTACCAGTATATATTTAGTGACACAAGAGGCTAGTGCATTTACCTGAGCTACTTTGCTTCAATAATTATGCATTTTGAACTAATTGCTTAAAACTAATTTGTATTTCTCTTAATTTTTATATGGACAGTGATAATGGGGCCATCAAAGAATTCTTGTTGAATTTTGGGTTATGGTACTGATTGGTAAAAGGGTCTTCTCCTTGTAGAACTACACCCTGAAATATTCACAAAGAGGCAATGGCTGGGATGTGCCTTCGGGTCAGAGACGGGGCCGGGGAAGGCTGCCGGTGGATGACACAGGACCGCCCACAGGCTGATGAGCTGTTACAGTGGGGCGGTGCCTACACAGGGATTCATTACACTGTGCTCTTTACTCTGGTATGGTTTGGAAGTTTTCCACAATCAAAAGTTGAAAAAAAAAAAAAAAACCCACCAAAAACAAAGAAGAATTTTAAGAGTTGAAAAGGGGACCCTAGTTCAACTCTTTGATTTTACTGATGGCACAGAGCTATGAAACGACTCATAAGATGATGCTTACCCCAGCCAGGCTTTTCACGCCAACAGAGTCAATAAAGTTGACTTGCGTAAAGTCCAGAATGACAGTGTGGATGTTATCCCCCGGGGGCATAAATCTTTGCAGTTCCTCAGGGACTGTGCTCTTGATGACTATCGGGGGATATTTTACTTCATCATCATCTTCAGGCTTCGTGGCATCTTCTCCATCTACTTCTGCATCCTGTCAATGGGTAAACCAAACCAGAAGCCTATGAGCAGCGCACATGTTGGTTCTGAGAAAGATTTTTTTTTCTTAAAGATTTTATTTATTTGAGAGTGAGAAAGAGAGAGAGAGCATGAGCAGGGGGAGGGTCAGAGGGAGAAGCAGGCTCCCCGCTGAGCAGGGAGCCCAACACAGGGCTCAATCCCAGGACCCCGGGATCATGACTTGAGCCGAAGGCAGATGCTTGACGACTGAGCCACCCAGGCGCCCCTGAGAAAGATTTATAAGGGAAAATTAGTTCCCATACTCTCAAACTACTGACTCCACCAGACCTCTTCTAAAATATCTGCCATATATGGTGGTTAACATAACAATAAAAAAATTAATAAAAAAAAATATCTGCCATATCCCCACCTTGTGATGTGACAGAAAAAGGATGTGTACATAATATTCAGTTTTAGCTCAGTTTCTTTTCTTCTTCCTCTTGTTTTTGTCCAATAAAATCCACTCTCCTTAGTCATCATATCCAATTTCTCCTCACTTCTAAAACCATTCCGTTAACTTCAGCACGGCCACAAGTTACCATAAGCTTGAACAGCAAAATCCAGCCTGAG